GCTTAAACATGTAGTGGATTAATGTTTAATAAATTAATTTGAGAGACCTCAAAGGATAACTTTTAAAAGGATGGAATAACTTCAAAGCACAACTTCTTCTGTCTTTTGAAGGAAGATGCTCTAAAGGATTTGGAAGATTTGGTTAAAAAGCTACCCTGGACCGATCCATTGAAAGTTTGGGAGTTGAACAACAGCTTGAAAAAGAAAAAGACAAAACGCAAAAAACACAATCTGCAGAGTGCTGCGAGCAGAGGGAAGCTGAGTGGTGGTGGAGAAGAGGGAGGAGCAGACCAGAATACCACTACCGACCAGGAGGACTGTGCCCAAAACCCTGTGGCTGTGGAAGCCGCTGGTGGCCAGGACACAGAGGATCCCCAGGGAGTGATGCCCGGAAATGGGGTGGAGGAGGAGGCAGATAATGAGCAGGAAGATGTGAAGGTTGAAGCGCAGGCGGGCTCTGGGAGCGGGCCCGAGGCTGGTGACGGTCAGACGGGCGGAGGAGAGGCCAAGGTGCTGAGGTTCCGAGTGACGTGCAACAGAGCTGGGGACGGGCACAGCTTCACCTCCAACGAGGCCGCAAGAGACTTCGGTGGAGCCGTGCAGGAGCACTTCCAGTGGAAAGCTGACATGACTAATTTTGATGTGGAGGTATAGTGGCATGCCTTGGAAATACCTGCATTTCTGCACTACAGATTTTTAGTTCTTGTTTCTGATGCTTAGAGATCTCCAAACTGCCTTGCAGAGACTCTGGAACTGAAAACTGGTAATGCTGAAATTGGCCTCCTCTGAAGTGCTCCTTTCCCTGGCAACATTATGTGTGTCCTCTGATGCAAGCACTTGCTTTCACCTTCAGTAAATCTTTCCTCTAATGCATTGTTTATTAGCAGTCTAAGTTACCAGGAAATGCTCGGAATGGAAGCTGGTTTTGGGGTGAAGGGGACAGAAGGAGTTGACAATAACTGTCAGGTGTTTGTTTTCTGTCAGGGGAGAGCAGAGGCTGGGAAAATACAACCAGCACCCCTGGCCTGTTGGTGGTGAAGAACCAGTGTTTTTGAGGGGCAGAAAGACCTCTTAAGTTTTTCTTGCTGCTTTACTAAGGGCTGGCCACTGCCCTTGAGTGAGATTTCACCTTCCTAGTTAATCTAGTCCCCACCACAAATGATTTTTATTGCTGCTTTTGCAGATGGTTCACTGTGTCTTGCTGGACTTACCCAGCCTCTGCCCCAGACTTAAAAACCAAGTCTTTTAAAAAGCCGGTGCAATGGTTACAGCACTTTGAGAAGTCTTGTGCGACAAATTTGGTGTGAATGAGAGAATGTGTGAATGTGCACCTGAACTCTGTCCTATTAAAATGGTTCTTTGCTTTACTTCCAAGAAGAAAAGCTTCTTTATATGTCATTCCTGGGTTTTAAATTACCATCTAAGATTCCTGTAAGTATTTACTAGGAGTTCTGTGGAAAGCTTCTGTTACTCCTGAAATTCACGTCAAGTTTTTTCTTCAGGTCCTTCTGAATATTCACAACAATGAAGTGGTGGTGGGGATTGCATTAACTGAGGAGAGTCTCCACAGACGGAATATCACACACTTCGGGCCCACAACGCTGCGCTCCACCCTGGCTTACGGCATGCTCAGGTCAGGGCAGTTATATTGTATTATGCTTGGTTAACAAGTGGCTTTTGTTTAAGAAATTAAACCTTTTATCTCCCCCACTGCTTCCTCAGAAGCCATTTCTGTTAATTCTTAAAGAAAAATAAATGAAAAACCCCTGGAGTTGCTGACACCATGGGCCTTGTAATAACAGTGGGTGTTTCCCAGCCAAGGAAAGTAAACATTTGCTGTATTAGCCAAATTTCAAAACTGTACCACAGTCTTGAAAGAATTTCACTTCATTGCTGGTTATAAAAAAAAATTAACTAGTGGAAAAAATAATCACATCAAGTTTTTTTGTAGAGTAATTAAAATAGTTCACTTTCCCTTATTTACAGAAATTCAGGTTTTTAAGACATTTCTCACCATATCTTTTCTTCTGTTCCTCAGACTCTGTGATCCCCAGCCCACAGATATCATAGTTGATCCCATGTGTGGTACAGGTGCGATACCAATAGAGGTGATTCTTCCTTGATTTTTTAAACTTAATTAAACTTGTCTCTATCTTAGCTATATTCTATTATAGCTGAATAATACGTGTAAATCTTCTTAGTAATGACTGAATAGTAAGCTCCAGTCTCACCAGTTTTTGAACAGATGCAAATACACTTTTATTAAATGACCTCATTTTCCTTCCATAGGACGTAGCAGGAAGAGACTAAATCCAAAAGTATTTTGAGCTTTAAAGGTGCAAAATACAGCTATCTGTTACCGAAGTCTAAATTTCCAGCCATCCACTTGCAGTCACTTTGTTGTATTCTGTCACATTTGAGAAATTATTCTGGGTTTTTTTCATTCAAGTAATGTTGATGCTGATGTTGCTTATTGTAATTTCCCTCCCAGGGAGCTGCAGAATGGCCCTACTGCTACCACATTGCAGGGGATAACAACCCTCAGGCAGTGAAGAGAGCAGCAAACAACATCAGCTCCTTACTGAGGAAAAACGAGAGTAAGGACAGGTGAGAGGAGCCTGATGGGTTTACCCTTCCTGCAGAGCTGTATGCACAGAAATCCACTTGGCATTGATGCCCTTGAGTGTCTGGTTCCTGTTTTCCTGTTCATTTTGTTGCCAACACTGTGGCCCTGCCCTGTGTGAAAACCCTCCGAGTGCTCATGTCTGAGGGCAGTGCCTTTGCTCTTGCAGCGGCGCTGCCCTGGGCGTTCCCCTGGACGTTGTCCAGTGGGACATCTGCAACCTGCCCCTGCGGACGGGCTCTGTGGACATCGTGGTGACAGACATGCCCTTCGGCAAGAGGTGAGCTGTGCTGCCCGGGGCTGGGCTCCTCCCCAGCTGCAGAGCTGGCCTGCTGGGGAAGCAGCCATGAGCCCTGTGCTGAAAATGAGCTCGAAAGTGACCTGCTCCTGAACGGGCAGATTGCTGTCTGACACACCGTGGACGCTGAGCTGGTGCCCGTGGCCGCAGTGGGGTCTGAATGTGTCTTGCAGGATAGGGTCCAAGAAGAAGAACTGGGACCTCTACCCAGCCTGCCTGATGGAGATGGGCCGGATCTGCACCCCAGGGACAGGCAGGGCTGTGCTGCTTACCCAGGACAAGAAATGCTTTGCCAAGGTTTGTTCTGTGAGAGAAAATCTAACCTGTTTGCACTTGAAAATGCATTGGGGCAAAAATTGTGAGCTGCCATCATTACAAAAGACACTCCGTTTATAGAGCTATCTTTAGTAACGCTTAAATTCAGTATTGGGCCTGGAAAATCCTTTGTTGCCATCAGATGTGATACAGAGTAATCCAAATGAACGCTGTTGTCTGAGTGCCCCTGTTTGTCTGTTTTGGCCTGCAGGCCCTGTCCCGCGTGGGGCACATCTGGCGCAGAGCCCAGACGGTGTGGGTGAACGTGGGGGGCCTGCACGCTGCCGTGTACCTGCTGCGGCGCACCTGGGAGCGCGCACCCGAGAGCAGGCCCCGCTGGTGAGCTGCCTGCAGCGGACAGGAGACACCCCAGACACCCCAGGCCCCGCTGAACAGCCAGCTGGTACAGCCTGAGAGCACAGGCCTGTCAAGTTTCCACACCAAACAGCCTCTGGAGAAATCCTCACACAAATACTAAACCTGGGATCAACTGGAGAGCTGCCACTTCTGCTGTGTGTTCTGAAACCTAATTATTTAAATCACTTCTGCTCCCTTCCACCCAAACTGAAATTCATTAGCGGAATTAGTAATTATTTCCTTGGCTTGGGTTTTCTCTTGTATTTTTCAGTTAAACATTTATTTCTTCTGCTTACAGTAGAAAACATGTTGAGGCAGCTCTGGGTGTAACAGTTAATTTATTTACCAAGGTGTATTTTCAAATTACTAACCATACTACTAAGACAGTCACCTTAAAGGGTTCAGAGGTGGTATCTCCAATGTAGTTTTCTGATTTATACCATTACTCAAATGTAAACTAATAATAAACCAGTATCTGGTTTTTGTGGTCTGATAAGCAAATTCCCAGTATGCTGTGCTTCTGGTTCTCTTGCCTGTTACCTTAGGGCTAATTACCAGTAAATGTCTGATGTGTGTTCTGGCATTCCATTGCCAGGGGTGAGGGGGTAACACACAGCCCCAGAAAACAGTCCGTAGTTGCTATTTGAGGTTCTTTCAGCAGTTATATTAAAAAGTTCACAGTTTTGGTGTCTACCATGGATGCATCAAGGTGGCAATTTGAATTTCTTAGGTAATTTAGCTACCACAGCTACGCTGTCACAGTATTCACAAAAATATTGTTGCAAATATTTTTTTCTTCTGTGACCATACTAGGGTTTTTCAGCCTCCCACTCTGCTCATCAGGGCTGAAAACAAATTGCCAGTTTGCCCTTTCCATTACAGAGTGTTCATGCTAAGATTGTGTAACTGTTCAGAGGTGAATTAACAAGTATTAAAGTTTCAGAAGTTTTGTATAAAGAGATGTCTTGTGGTTTTTTTCTGGTTCATGTCCAGATTTCCCAAAATCTAGTTAATTTTTCTCAAATTTTAGTGTTTTCACGTGTGTGATAAAGATAATATAGTGTTTGTGAATCTACAGCTGAAGGATAAAGGAATGTTTTGGCACCCTGAGAGCGGGAGAGGAAAACTCTTACTGGCTGAGGAAGAACTGGTTTGCGGCAGCCCTGGTGAGCCCAGTGCCTTGGTCACAGGACTGTGAACTGAGGCCGCAGGGCGGTAAGACATGGCACAGAGCTGACAGCTGCAGTGACCACTCGCCAGCCGCCGTTGCTGTTTCCGTCAGTTTGTTAAAACAAAACGAGCGTTTGGCGGCTCCGTGCGGGAGCTGCCCTCCCGGCGCTGCCCTCACGGCGCTGCCCCGCCCCGCCCCATCAGCGCATGCGCCGCGGCGGGGCCGCCCCCTGGCGCGTGCGCGGCGGGCCGGGCGCGATGGCGCCGCCGGGCGGGCTCGGGGCCGGGCCCGTGCTGCGCTCCGTCAACACGCGCGAGCTCTCCGAGGTCGTGTTCAACAACCACAGCCCCCGCCGCGTGCTGCCCGTCTGGCTGGACTTCGAGGGCCGCCCGCGCTGCTACCCGGTCCTGCAGCCGCGCAGCGGGCGCGTCATGCGCAGCTACCGGGGTGGGTGCGGCGGCACGGGCCGCGCCTGGGCCTCGCGGGGCCCGGGCGGCTCAGCTGCTGCCGTGCAATTTACCCTTTTGCTGTCCCCCCGCCCCCTTTTTCATTTCTCTTTTTCCTTCTCCCACTCTTACCTTTCCCTTCATTTTCCCTTTTTCTCTCTCAATTTCCTTTGCTCTTCTTCTTTCTCTTCCTTTCCCCTCTCCTTTCCCCCTTTCTTTCTGCCCTTTTCCTTTTTCCTCTCCTTTCCCGTTTTTCCTTTCCCCTCCCCACTCACGCCAGTGACTGGGGCCGTGCCCTGTGCTGGAGAGCTGGGTCCCTTGCCGGTAGGTGCCGCTCAGAGGCACTCATTAGACAGTTCTGTAATTGCTGCCTTCCCACCTTGTTCCCTGGCAGGGCACCTCTGGCTGTTCCGGGATGCAGGGACCAACGACGGGCTGCTCGTCAACCAGCAGGAGCTGTTCGTGATAGCCCCCAACGTGACCAAAGCTGACATCACGCTGCCAGGTAAGGGGCAGGAGCACATGTGCTCCGGGGCGTTCTGGACCTGCTGGGATTAGTGAGAAATCAGATCCTTGTGAAACTAAGCCAGCTCAGAGACCGGAGGAGATGGTGAGGGGCTGTAGTGGAGCTGTTGTATTGTGGCAGAGCTCTCCTTTCAGGGGCTTTCAGAGGGGTTTCGTAGGTGCCTCCTGGCAGAACCACACCTGTGTCCTGTGTGCAGAGCCCAGCCTGTCGTGGCCACTGGTGCTCTGCACTCACAGGCTCAGGGCAGCGTTGCTGGTGCTGGAGCAGCAGCTGCGAGCCCTCGTGACGAGGCTGTGCTGTGCTTTGCTTGGCTGCAGTGTTCACCCTGAAGGAGAGGTGTCTGCAGGTGGTGCGCAGCCTGGTCAGCCCCGTGGACTACAGGAAGCTGGACATTGTGCAGTCCTTGTACGAAGAGCTGGAGGATCATCCTGACATCTGGAAGGATCTTCGGCGGCTTTCTCTGGAGAGGAATGAGGCACTGAGGAACTAAACTGTGGAATAGCAGGATTACTCACTCCAGACTCCTCGTTACAAACCACTGAGTGAGCAGCGAGAGTCGCCAGGACACACACCAACTGATGCCTCCGTTTAAGTTTGAAACATAAACTCAATAACTTCGGTGACAGTAAAATCCCAAAGACTGAACAGCACGGGGAGGCATGCTGGGTTCTGATGGTTCAGTTCATTTCTTAATTACAGTTACTGCAAACTGTAGGGTAAGATCAGGGCAGCTAAATGGAAAATATTCATACAAAGTAATTTTCATTGTATTAGAAAGCAAATTACACCAAGGATTAATTTAGCCCAGACTAATGGCTGTAAGTGTCATGGGTTTTGTTTGAGTAATTTGTTTTGATGGAATTTCCCTTTCACGTGTCACCTCAGTGTGCCTGTGGGTCACAGAGCATGAGGGGTTTGTACATGAGGGTTTCCAGCAGTGCCTGAGGGTCTGACAGGCGTTACATTGGTGTGTAAACAGGTTATTCTGCCTCTTACCTTTCCACAAGCAAAGCCATGTCCCATCTGCTCTACATGAGGGTTTCCAGCAGTGCCTGAGGGTCTGACAAGCGTTACATTGGTGGAAAGATGGTGTGTAAACAAGTTACTCTGCCTCTTACCTTTCCACAAACAAAGCCATGTCCCATCTGCTCCAGCTCTGACATGTTTTTACTGTCATCATACCTCAGATGCCTTATTTGCCTTTGTCACAGGAGTCTTGCCTGGCTGATCTCAGCCACGCAGCCCAGCCCCTTGTTTTGGAACACCCGTGTCCCCCACAGCTGCTTCCCCAGCAGCCCGTGCAGGGTTCACAGGACGCAGATGCTCTAAGTTCTGTCTTTTCCCCTCGCAGTGCTGCAGTCCAGGTCACAGTAGGAGGCTCACAGCAGGGAGCATGGGCCTGTTGAGCTGCCTGTGTCTTCTCAGGACCACTGGGAGCTGTATCGGCTCACACAGCCAGCTCACAAACAGGGCTGTGCTTACTGGCAGGCTGGAGAAGGAGAGATGATATTTCTTTGCCTGTATTCTGTTCCCCACATCTTGGTGCAGTGTGCTCTGGTGTGAGCACAGAGAGTTCAAAGCATTGTAGTTCAGAGTTAGATGAATTGTCCATCAAGCAAGATGTGGTGCAGCTCAGGTTAGAAGCAGATTGGTTGGAGATTGATTACAGCAGGTTATTTCTATGGATATATTTCCCTCCAGTTGTACATTTTGAGATCAGCTGTGAAACCGAGAATCTCAATGTATTTTGTAAGTATGGAATGTCTCCCTATTTGTAAACTTGTTTCTCTTACATGTTTGAAGAAACTCATCTTTGACATAAAAATGAAAATGCATGCGAGCTTTCTGACTGTAATTCTGTCAGATAAGTCCCCAGTGCCTCTGTTTGTACTGCTGTGACACTCACAGTCAGTGGCTGAGCAGTAAACACTTGGCCTGCCCAGCCTGCTGCTGCAGGGCTGTGTTGTGGCTCCCATGAACTATCAGCACAACTTCAGCAGCCTCGGGGCTGCTGGGGAGTCCTGCTCTCACCACCTCTCACAGATCTCTGAGGGGAAAGAGCCCATGCAGGCCTCTGCAGCAGACTTGGGTCAGTGCCCCAGGGAGCCTGAGGGGGGGAGAGAGCTGTTCCCTGCTCCTGACCATTCCCGAGAGGAGGTGCCCTCTGTGGGGCTGTGCAGTCAGCATGGCAGCTCTGCCAGGCAGAAAGCTGACCTGCTTGCCTGCAGCTTTTCCTGTAACCTAGGTGGTATTAGGTGTTGGGTTTAACAGTCTGTACATGGCACACACCTTCTGGGTATTGCTGAGCTGGGTGGGGTCTGTGATTTCTTGTGTTTCTATCAGAGTGTATTTTTCTGTTCTGGAGTGCTCCTTTGGATCAGAATAAAAGGTTGCAGAAACCCCAGCCAGCTGTAACCCATGACCATTGGGAAATGCAGTCTTCCAGTAGTGACTCAGATGGGTTAGTAGTGAGTGAAAGCCCTCATTTACTTGTGGCAGCTGGATGGTCCTGGATGGTTTCAGTCAGCCCAGCACGGCCTCCTTGGCCATCCCAGGAGAGCAGTGAGAGCTGGCAGGGCCAGCCCAGGGAGCGGGTGTGCCACAACCCTGCTGTGCAGGACGGGATAAACCCCGGGGATCAATGCTGCTGGCACTGACCCTGCTGGGCAGGATGGGATAACCCCCGGGGATCAATGCTGCTGGCACTGACCCTGCTGGGCAGGATGGGATAACCCCCGGGGATCAATGCTGCTGGCACTGACCCTGCTGGGCAGGATGGGATAACCCCCGGGGATCAATGCTGCTGGCACTGACCCTGTGCAGGACAGACAAACCCCGGCAATAAATGCTGCTGGCACTGACCCTGCTGTGCAGGACAGGACAAACCCTGGGGAGTAAATGCTGCTGGCACTGACCCTGCTGTGCAGGACAGACAAACCCCGGGGATAAATGCTGCTGGCACTGACCCTGCTGTGCAGGACAGGACAAGCCCCAGGCAGTAAATGCTGCTGGCACTGCAGCGTCCTGCAGAGCCCTGCTGCAGCACGGCAGAAAGGGCCAGAAAAAATTGCTGACTTTAAGAACGTATTTTAAACCTAACCCTTGACAAGCAAGGCCTGGCCCTGTGACAGTTTCTGGTGTTTCTAGCTCTCAGGGCCGGCACGTCCTGCCGTTCCCGCAGTAGGACGGGCTCCCGGAGCTGCCGTGACCCGAGCCCCGGCCGGAGCTCCTCCGCCGGGCCGTTCCTGCCCGCACGCCGCTGTCCGGGACAGCCGCTGCCTTCCGGCAGCTGGAGCTCGCAGCTCGGCAGCGGGGCTGGAGCCCTACCCAGCCATGGAAAGGAAAGTCTGGTCTGCGCGGGGCCGGGCCTGACGTCAGCCGGAGCAGGAAGCGGCGCTCGGGCCGGCCGGGGCTCGCTGGCCGTGCCGCGGTGCTTCCCGAGCCGGGCTGGGGCGGCGGCGGCAGCGCCGGCACAGCAGCAGCACAGGAGCCCCCCGGGCACAGGAGCAGCACAGGAACCCCCGGGGCACAGGAGCAGCACAGGAGCCCCCCGGGCACAGGAGCAGGCTGCAGGAACCCCCCGGGCACAGGAGCAGGCAGTGCCGGGCACAGGAGCAGGCAGCGCCGGGCACAGGAGCAGCACAGGAGCCCCCCGGGCACAGGAGCCGGCGGCAGGAACCCCCCGGGGCACACAGGAGCAGGCAGCAGGCAGCCCCGGGCACAGCAGCCGGCTGCAGGAGCCCCCCGGGCACAGCAGGCTCGGGACAAGCCGCAGAGCCCGGCGCGCTGCCCGTGGCCCGTTCTCCCGCTGTCCGGGCAGGCACGGCGCGGCCATGGCGCTGCCGCCCCGAGCGGGCTCGGCCCCGGCGCTCTACATCCACAGCATGCCCGCCTGGGTGCTGGAGGACTTCTGCCAGAAGATGGACTGCCTGAGCGACTACGACTGGATGCGGTTCGGTGAGGGACATCGCGCTGTCCCCGCGCTTCCCTGCTCCCTGCGAACAGGGAATTCCCGGCACCAGGCTGCTTTTGCTTTCCGAACGCAGGTGGAATGCCGGGCTGCTGCGGCTCCGTGGCTTTTCCTGGGCAGCCAGGCTCCTTCCCCTCGCTCTCCGCAGTCTCTCGCACTTCCCTCTCCATTCGCACTGCATCTCCTGCCACTTCTCGCTACTGTTTCCACAACGTCCCTCACATCTGCTCAGGTGTTCTGGTTTTTTATTTCCTCCTTCTCCTCATGTATATCCCTTCATGCTTTGTGCCCCTGTTTTTCTCGGTCCTGGCTGTGTACAGTCACTAAGTACAGAAAATACAGTCCCCGAGTTATTTACTCTGTTTTCTCTATCCCCGTGCAAAGAATTCTAACCTGAATCTTTTCTTAGTACCTGCCTTCCTTTATTTGACATGACTTCCCTAACTGTGTGCTGAATAAGTTCTTACCCCAGTTAAAGGTCCTGGTTAGGGGAGGATTCATCTCCACTACCTTCAGATGCATAAAGCTGTATTTCTGATGTCCCTGCAAAGCCAGCCGTGGTGAGGACTCAGGAATCTTTGTCTCCAAGAACACCCCAGCCTTTTTCCTTCAGGCACAGCCCCCGAGACTCCGGCTCTGGGGCTGCTGGGGTGTGTGGGGTGGAGCTGGGCACTGGTGAGGGGAGGTGGGTTCTGTACGGGTAAGTGGGCTGGAAGAATACAGCGGGGTCAGGAACTGGGACACGTTGTGTAGGGTCAGCTGTGGCACAGGATCCAAAAATAGCTGCATTTCCCCGATGGCTTTATCAGTGTAGCTAACACCCAGGTGATTCAGGTATTGTTTGGCTACCACAGCACAGGGATTTAGGAATGCAAGTGGGAGTGCAGCCACTCCACTGACTGCTGCCACCCATTTTGGAGAATCACCCCAGGAATTTAATCTCACCTTACTTTGGTACAAAGTATTGATGATGAAGATTACAGGGAAAATATGCTGAAAAGTATAAGTGGGTCTTCTTTTCAAGTGTCTCTGATAGAACAAAAATTTTTCCAGAATAGTTGAAGGAAGAAAAGGGATATCTTACTTTAGGAACAGAAATTTCTTCATGTCCACATAGGTAATTTATTGTGATCCTTCCTTTTAAAGATATGCAAATGCAAAAGTAAACAGTGTCTCACACCTTAGCCTGCCCTGCTTGCCCTTGCCTGTTTTTTCTAATATTTAAACAGAGATATCCATTCTCTCCCACCAGCCTCCTACGTGATCACTGATCAAACAGAGCTACGGAAAATCAAGTGCATGGAGAAGACAGGGATCAGCATCACGAGGGAGCTGATGTGGTGGTGGGGAGTGAGGCTGGCGACAGTGCAGCAGCTCCTGGACCTGCTGCAGGGGCTGCAGCTTTACCGAGCAGCTCAGGTCATCCTGGACTGTGAGTAGCTGCCCCTTGCTCCCGTGGCTCTGTGCTGCTCCTCACAGCACCCGGGCCCCTCCTAGGACATCTGCCTTGCTAGCTCAAGAAGCTTTTTGGTAGAAGTCACCTCCTGTGTCAAATTCTGAAACGTCTCACTGATTGTGATTCTCTGCTCACTCGAGTAAAATGGGTGGTGAGGGGAGAGGTGGCACAGGGGGACTCACTGTCCCTGCAGCTCATCACCCCATCTTTGTGGTGCTGTCTTGGACCCTTCAAGAAGTGCCAGGAAGATGGGCTGTGGCCAAGCCAGGGCTGGTGCTTTTATACATCAGGCAGGGTTTCAGAGCACAGAGGCTGCACAAAGGGTCCCTGTGCCACTGGATCACAGCCTGAGAGACAGCATGTTGCAGCCCCTGCCAGGATTGCTTCTGGTCCAGGAGCAGCTTCCAGCAGTTGGCCCTGAAACACACAGCCAGCACAGACAAAACCATCACCACCCCTCTGTGGGTCTGCTCTGCTCCTGTGGTGTGTCAGGATGGCCTTTGCTTGCACAATTTGCACCTGGCTTAGGTACAACAGGGCATTACCTGCTTTCCCTTATGCTGCTCTCAGTTACTTTTTTTTTTTTTGAGCTTTTCTCTGTGTCTGAACATGCTTGCCCAGGTGATCCCTCTTGGGCAGATACAGAGGATATGTTGCTTGTTTTGTTAGGCACTTCAGAAGACTAAGTGGTCCTTACATCACCATAATTCAATTAATTCCTGCTTAAAGGAATCAGACACAGCACAAAGGGAGATCTTTGGCTGGCAGATTACTTCCCAAAGAGTTCTACATCCATTCAGCAGTTCTTTGCACTCTCTTGTGCCACTTCTGAATGTCCATAATGATGTTTTCTGTGTCAGTTCCTTAGCTGCAGTGCTGCCCTGTTTGTCTGACATGCAGGAAGTTGCAAAAGTCATGAAAAACTCTGAAAAGTAGGTTGAATAAGGGAAGTAATGCTAAGTTCTGAGACTTCTAGGTTAAACCATGTGAGGAAAAACCACAATACAGGGACTTCCCTGCAGAATGAAGGGACTGTCAGGTTTGACTAAAGGCCTGCAGACTGTGTGACAGCTAGTCTTAAAACCCTGTAAAATTTGGGATTTCGTAGCATTCTAACACCGTAACAAAAATACCTGAGTGTTGTGAGTTTTAATTTTCAGACCTGGTTTCATTCAGACCTGAGTTCCTAGGTGGCATTGAAGAGAACAGAGAGCCTGGCCCTTTCTGCCATTCTCTTCATGTCCTGCTGTTCTTCAGCCTCAGTGCCTGAATGTGCCAGGGCTTGGCTTCCTGAGCCAAGTTCACTGGCTCATGGTTCACACCAGTAGCCCAGATCACACAAGAAACACTGGGCTTCCTGCTTGTTCCAGGTGCTCCCTGGCCTTTGTTTGTACAAGCAAAAGAAAACAAAACTGTCTAATTTCAGAGGCAGAGGCCTGCCACATTTGATTCTAAAATCACCAAAGCTGTTAGAACAGCAGGATAAGAACCACCATGTAATAATGCTTGGGCTTATGTTTTTTTCTATATAATCCAAACATTTATTTGGATTTTTAGGAAAATGTTAAATGTATTTCTGATAAAAGGTGCCGTATAAAAGTTTAAAACTACAACCAGGAAAATGTTATCAGGGAGTAGAAAGCCCTTATATCACCCCTAGTGCACATTGGGCATTTCCAGGCTCCTTTTCAACCTCAGTTTTAAGAGCATTTTAAGAGGTAAGGATTCACCTGCTTTGGAGATTTTGCAACCTCATATATCACAGCATCTTGAACTTCTGTACTGTATTTCTTCCCATCCTAATTGTAGCTTAATCTCATCTAAATAATTCCCCCTCTGGTGTACATAGTTTTACGTTCCTGTATACTGTGTCCTTTTACTTCTTTTAATCAGACTTCAAGTTGCTTTTTCAGGCCTGACTCAGGTTTTGCCAAGCTGTGTACAGCACAGGATCTGTTAGAGCTGTAGTGAATCAATGATTCATCCTTTAAACTTTCCTTATATATCAATAAGTTTTGAGCTTTGACCATTTTTTGTTTTCCCTAGATTATCTTTGGTTTGTTTCTTTCTCTTGCTATGTAAAAGTATGAGTCTTGCTTACAAATAGTCCTGTATATGGAAGTTTTTCCTGGGAATGAACCTAGTCATGCCACTAAAATCACACAATTGAAAATAGTCCTAAAATATGTAACTGACTAAACCCAACACAATTCTGTCCATCTTCCCCTCAGTCCTATGACGACTGTAGAGAATCAGTGCCTTCCTTAGGCTGGGAGGTATTTGTGATTTGAGATCATTACCTGAAGGATGCTATATAGAAAATGATAAACATATTATTATTGCTAATTTATTCTTGTAAGAGACTGCATCTCTTGAATAGTCATTGCTGGTATTTATTTGAAGCAATTAGTTCCTGTTAATTTTCAGTAGAAGTTAATGTCATAGGTATAGTCTCAATTTAAATGCTGTCTAAATTGCTTGAATGTTCATTTTAATGTTGATGTTAATTTGAAGTCTGATGTCCTGATTAGGATTATTTTCTGGTCACTGATTAGAGTCAGGCTCTATTTTCCCTGCTTATCCTTACCTTCCCTGTGCTGTGTCTTGAAGGGACATCAGCCTCGAGCATCACCCTGCCTGAGAAAGAAGAGCCAGAGCCACCCAAACAGATCATATCTGTACCTCCCACAGAAGGCAAAAGGAGAGACAAAGAAAATGGCCTAAGTTTGCTGCCATCCCCAGACTCCTCTCACCCGGGAGCAGCCCCATCAGGCAGTAAGTTCAGTGCTGGGCTCCGAGCTTGCTGTGCCATGAAATGACTGCACAGCCAGGGCTGCTGTGTGCTTGTGGTCAGGACGGTGCAGTGAGGACACTGGTCTCCCAGATGGGCACAGCTGAGTGTTTGCTGTTTTCCTAGCACTGCTGTCTCCTGTTTGTTCCTCACTTCAGCACACAACCTCCTTTAGCCCCCTTGTCCTCGAGACATGCTGGCTGTGTCTGTCCTCTGGGATCTCAGGATGATTCCCAGGACTCTGGACGCCTTGATCCCATCCTGGCTCCTTACAAAGACTGCACCAGTGCATGCACGTCCTGCCCCATGTCCCTCTGCTCATGCACAGTAAATCTAGGCCAGCAGAGAGCTGGGCAGAGCTCAGCAGCCCCTCTGCTGGGAGAGGGAAGGGAGAACCCCAGCACATACTGGGGGGAGCATCTGCAGCAGCACAGGCACAGCCAGGGCTGGAGAGGGCTGCAGTCATCCTGCAAACAAGAACCAGGAAGAGAGCTCCCTGTCTTCACACAGAATTTCACAGTTTGACAGTTTGTCACAGATTATCCTTGGTCAGAAAGTTAAAAAAAATACCCCAGATCTTCATAATTCTTAGACCTTTGTAGTTAGTCACAGGTGGTGGTATGACAAAGCTAAGGTATGTTTTCAATGCTGTTATCTCAGTTTCAGGTGCTGTTTCTGAAGGAGCCTTGTATTCCCTCCCTGCTCCACCACCTCCCCCGAGAGACCTTTTGAATTCCCTACAGTCCAATCCTCCTGTTCTGTCGAGTGTGAAGGTAAATCCCCTTAGTGCTCGCTGACTGTATGAGGAAAATTGCATTTATGACATTCTTTTTTCTGTTAAAGTTTATCCCTCTACTTGTACAAAAACATTGCTGCAGTGAAAACATTGAGCTCAATACAAAGGGTTTGGACTGAATACAGTACTAGTGCTTCAGTTAGATTGCTTGTGGTTACATCACATTTTTTGCCAGTAAAGGAAAAATTTACAGTATTACTTCCTGCACAGCTCAGAAGGGATAGCATACCAACAAACAGCAACTGAGTTTGAAGGACTCTCACGTGTAGATGTTACAGAGGACTTACATTTCTGGTGTGATCACAGGACAGGACAGTATATACCACTGATTAGTCAGAACCACAGACCTCTTTTAGTTCCTTTGTATACTTAAAATGTGGTTTCTGCTCAAAACTGGGCTAGTATTGAATTTAAGTCATGTTGTTCAAAGCCTTGTGTAGCTGACAACTGGAAATCCCCCAAGATAAAGGTTCCATCACCTCTCTGAGCCCCTGTTCAGGTGCTTAACCATCACAGTGGGGAAAATTCTCCTAATGTTCCTGATGATTTCAGCATGAAGTCTCCTATTCCTTCCTCCCCACAGTTCTCTCATCTTTCATACTGTCTAACTAGATCTGTCCTGTCCCCAAAGTGTTTCCCAGATCTGTGGGCACACCTTAGTCCCATCATGGTTGTTCTTGGCTGTTTTCTGTGGTTTATTTTGTCTGAGGCTTTAAACTCTTCCACGATAACATGGTCCAGGAGTACCAGCCAGGAGGGAAGGCTGACTCAGAGTGCAGTAGTTTCAGAGTTTCTGGAGAAGAAATTAGTGCTTTATTTCCTCATGTTGTGTGCACATTGAGGTTGTGAAAGCTGCATGATTAGCTCCAGTGAGACTGTAATTATAGTTGGTATTAGGACTTACCAGACTGGAAGCAACAAATCATTGTGCAACCAATGCTGGATGCTTCAAATGTAGATATGAAGTTTACCAGACCATAATTACATTATGAGGGACCCCACCTTCTCATCCAACTGTTTCTTAATATGTAACCCAGCTATAAAGATTAAGATCTTTTGTAAATCAGACTAACATCACTTCACATAAATAAATGGACTTTTAAACAAAGCTAAGTCTGTTTCCTGGGAAAGGTGGAAATGCAGATTGGTAACTGATTTCGCTTCTGCTATGCAAAAGTTTTACATCATCCCAACACATCAAGACAGGAGTTACCTACACCCTAAGGAGTGATTGCATAGTACCTTTCACAGTTTCGTTCAGCAATCACAAGGATTGCTTAAAACATGGGAAGGAAAATATGACACTGAAAGAGGGGAAAAGCATATGAATTATCATGAGACAAACTTGTTTCTTCTACAAATGTGTAGCCTTGCAGCTCTCCTGCTCCTCAGCAGGAGACGATGGCTGATCTCCCCAGCGGGAGTCTCCTGTGGACCCAGAGGGAAATTGCCAACGCCACCAACAGCTTCAGTGACAGGAACAGAATCTGTGAAGGTGCCTTTGCAGATGTCTACAAGGGTCAGAGGAACAACATGGTGTTTGTCATCAAAAGACTCAAAGAGGCAAGTACTGCACCTTTTTCTAGAGCAGTGTGTGTTATTAGCATGACTTGCCCACTAGCAGATGTTGTTTAATATTGTGTGGGGAAGGAACCAGAATAACTGCACAAGAGGAGAGGTAAAAATGAAATGATGTAAATAATTAAACCTAAATTCAGAAAACACACTTGGATGAATACTTTACTCATGTGAGTAGTTCCATTAACTCTATAGATAAGAGTAGCCTGCAGTATAGCTGCCTGCACTGGGTGATTGGATCGGGGGTATCTTTACACTAGTGTTTGTTCTAATTGCCAGTTAATTGTTGCCTTTGACTTAATGTTGCCATGAGTGGTACTTGACTGTTTCCTATACTAGCTTGTCTAGGAAGAGAGAGAGACTACCAGATGTGTATAAATGCAAAGTCCTAGCAATTTCTAATGACATTCTTGCATGTTTTCATTTTTCAGCTGGAATGCACAAGCCCAAATTCCACCCAGAGGTTCTTTCATACAGAAGTGCAGATTTGCTTTCGGTGAGTGGCTGGCTTTCAGAGGCAGTGATGTGTGTCCCACTCGTGCTCTACTGCTGGGTGTTCCATCCTCACTGGGGTGTCTGCTCCAGGCACTGCTCTAGCTGGGGACACACGGTCTCGTGCTGCCTCTGCGGGAGCCCCGGGCAAGCAGCACAGTGCCCAGGGCTGCTGCTGCTCCTGGCTGAGCTGGCACAGCCACTCTGCAGCCTTGGGGTGGGGAGGACACAGTGCCCACCGTACCCCTGTGCAGTGTGATGGGCTCTTGCTCAGTCAGCCTCCTGCCATCTGCTGCCCAGGACCGTGCTGTGCTCCGGCTGTGCTTCCAGCTGCAGCACACCTTTCCAGCTCCCTTGAATTTAGGAGCTTGCTCCAGCTCAGGAGTGTGTTTTTCTGCGTTGCTCTTACATCATGTGCAATCACGCTGATCTGTGCCTGCAGGTGTTGCCACATCAACATCCTGCAGCTGCTGGGGTTCTCGGTGGAAACTGGATCTCACTGTCTGATATATCCGTACCTGCCCAACGGCTCCCTGCAAAACAAGCTGCACTGCCACGTAAGAAAGCATCTGGGTCTGCCGCCTGCTTGTGATTGCAACTCCTCTCCTGGAATTCCAGGAAAAACAATTGCATCTCTCTGGTTTCTGAGAAACAGACAGAGAAAAAAGGTGCCCAGTGCCTTGGCTGCAACACCAGGAAGGCAGCAGCTCTTCTGGAGTTTGACTGGGACTCAGCTAAGCCTTTGCTTTTCTAAACTGCCAATGTCTTACAGTGTTTTATTCCATTAATTACCAATTTTTCCTCCTTTCCTTGCAGGATGATTCTGCTCCGCTGACCTGGGAGATGCGAATTAGGATTTCTTTAGGAGTTGTCAGAGCAGTGGAGTATTTGCATAATTTTGGAATTCTTCATGGGAATATCAAGAGGTGAGGACTTTGATTTCCTTGGTCACCTGGTAATTTAAAGATTTCTTTAATAATCATGGCTAAAGTTTATACAGTTTGGAAATCCATTTGCAGTAATTTCTGCTGTCCCTTGTTCTATAGGGCCTTTACCCTTTTTTGTTTAACCTGTCTCTCTTTCCTAAATGACGGAAGTAAATTATTTTGAAGTAATTTTTGGGTGCTTGTTTTTTCCCCTTCTTGCTTTCTAATATTCTTAATCCTTTCAGTCCTATGCAGGAGGCAAAATGCTGGACACTTTCAGTGCTTAAGTTTAAAAATATAAAACTAATTCTTTACCTCAAGATAAAGTAATGATTTGATCAAATTTGTTATTGTTATTGCAGCTCAAATGTCTTGTTGGATGAAAACTTTACACCAAAGCTCGGGCATTCTGGGCTGCGCTTGCATTCTTCTGATAAAAAATCAGAATATGCCATGATGAAAACCAAAGTCGTACAAGCTTCTCTTTCTTACCTGCCAGAAGATTTCATCAGACATGGGCAGTTAACAGAAAAAGTGGATATATTCAGCTGTGGTGTGGTATGTTGCCTTTTTTCCATGCTCTGGTTTATTTTTTGATGCTTCTAGACAAGAAATTGAATAAGAACAAGTACCTCATATGGTTGTTTTGCTGGCAATTTCATATTATAGTCGCTGGCTCTATAATTTGTTGAAATACTGGTTTTAATTGTTCACACTCCAAATATATCTCAGTTTGTGGCAAAATTAGGTGAATTTTTTGAACAAGAGAAACAAAAGTGTTTTTATTGCAGATCAAGTATTACTGCTGAAGGCTTTGCTGGCTCTATAATTTGTTGAAATACTGGTTTTAATTGTTCACACTCCAAATATATTTCAGTTTGTGGCAAAATGAGGTGAATCTTTCAAACAAGAGAAACAAAAGTGTTCTTTATTGTAGATAAAATATTACTGCTGAGGGCTTAAAACAAACTAGATGCTCAAAATTCTTGCAGACTCACCACATGAAGTTCTACAAGCATTGCCTGTTCATTTGTAATTTCAGCTAAAATAATGTATATGATGTCACCCATCTCCAGAGACTCACCACATGAAGTTCTACAAGCATTGCCTGTTCATTTGTAATTTCAGCTAAAATAATTTATAGTATATGATGTCACCCATCTCCAGGTGTTTCCATTTAAGTAGGAAGTTGCTTTGTACAGTATGATTTTTTATCTATATTTAGCTTTACTTTCTTCCTATTCTTTGTTTCAGCAATATCTATTGAACTATAAAATCTGGGCTTGGCTCTGGAGGTAGATCTAAAGTCTCATTAATGCCCTGAGCTGGCATTTTTAAGCCATCTGAAGTAAAAATATGTCAGAATGCATTGAAAGTTCAATATTTCTTTAGTTAAATACTTATTTTTAAAAATTATAGTTCATTCTGAACAAATAATTTTATCTTTCAAATACACTTTGTAGGTCTTAGCAGAGACACTGACTGGGATTAAGGCACTGGATGAAGACAGAAACCCAAATTACCTGGTAAGAAAAAGCAGCAGTAATGAACGCCAATACAAATGTATGGGGTTGCTGTCATAAAATAATTGTAATTTTATTTAAATACAATTTTTTGTTTGCTGTCTGCTGTACATGCCCTGCAGAAGGGAAGTTTAGGAGCCATATCCTGGTTCCATTAAGGTCAGTAGCCTGCCTGCCATTAGAACAGAAGCACAGTTGATATTCCCATTTCACATACCCACTCATGGGTGCTGGCCTGAATGGCATGAGGAGAGACTGCAAAATAAATAAATCTTTAAGAGACAAGGCTTTGTGCTGAAATGCTGCTGCGTGTTTTCTGTGTGCCAGGAGGAGGTGGGATGAGCCACAGTGAGCGGGGAAACCTGGGCAGGCAGGAGCTGCAGAAGCTCATCATGTTTATCAGGCGTTTGTCTTGTGCTCATGTGTGGAACTGATACCCTCACCAGTTTCCCAAGCTGAGGGGAGAGCTACATGAGCCACTTTCACAAGCACTCACAAGAGCCAAACCCACTGAATGCATTAGAACCATCTGCAGGAAGCAGCCTTCACCTGCCTTCCTTCTGTGGCATGTGCTCCTGACTTCTTGTCTGGCTGGAGCCTTGGAGGGGACAACAACAGTATTCCCCCTATTTGCAAGCAGTTCAGAAGTGTTCAGAGGGGTTCTGAAAATCAAAGATCCTATGTTCCTGATTTCTTTAACGTGTGTTACAAAGGCCTGTGTAAGAATGCTGCTCTGCAAAGTGTTGGCTCTTTTTCATTCCTGTACAAATGAGCAAAAGCCAGGAAGAGCTTGCCCTGCTTTAGGAAATTTGACATCGGGCACATGCAGAGAAAGCCACTGGCCTTTTCCTCTCCTGTGAGAGCAAACATTTCAGTGAATTGCATGAACAGAGATTGTTAAAGGTTTTCACTCTGTGAATCAGGCATCGAGGAACGCCAATGACAAATACACAGCAATACTGATCCTCAGAGATGCAGACAAAAATAAATGCTTGTGTTCGTTTTGCCTTCACTAATACATCTCCTTCATTTGAACAGAAAGATATGATTGCTGATGAAATTCAGACAGCAAAAGAAAGCTCAAACTCCAAAGTAAAAAATTTGGAAAAACTGGCTGCCAAGGAAATCTGCTGCAAATACCTAGACAGAAAAGCAGGGCACTTGCTGGAAGAGGTGGCTGTTGATTTTGCATCAGCCATCTGCCTTTGCCTGAGAAAGAAGAATTCGAACATAGCAGAGGTAATATTTTAAATACATGGCAAAGATTTAAGTCTCCTTGTCATCAGGGTGTAAAGCTACAACTTTCATGTCTTGCTTATTTTTGTGAGTGTTGACATAGGAGAATATGTGTAAGCAGGGGTACAGGAATTACTATGCATTCATAGATTTGGTTGTTAAAAACAGGTACGTGAAATGATGGAAATGGCTGAAAACAAATTAAAAGAGCATTTCCTCTGTGGAAGCAGCACTTCTGGGTTCTCCATGAACACTCCAGAAGAGACTGATGATGAGACAGCCAGTGTGAGCGTGGATGTGCCTTCTGCAGTGGGGAACAGGGAGGAGAGCAGCCAGGCAGCAGTGCTGGCCAGCAGCAGCCCCTGCGTGCCTTCCCTGGCACCCGACACCTATGGCATCTACATGTCACGGGTCCCCTGCGAGTCAGATGAGTCCAGCAGCTTCACGTGGAATCCTCCAGAAAAAGCCACAGAGGAGCTACCTAGCCACAAGTGTCCCGGTTCAGAAAAAGCGGCAGGCTGTGATTACAAGCAGGGAAAGCCTGCCCAGGGACTGCAGGAGAGGAGCCTGGCGTGTGCCCGAGGCGATGGCACCCTGGAGGCAGCAGCTGCTGCACAGGGCACCTGCCCGCAGGGAAACACAGACCTGGACTCTTCGTGTGCTCCTCAAGGTAAAAGTGCCCTCGTCTCACAATACTGGGGGCAAATTGCTCTCTTCTCCAGAACTGCTTAGCTGCTTCTTCCTGCTTTTAAACACGTATCAGTAAATCCTTTCTCCTTGGTTATGAATTTGCTAATAAATCTACAAAACATTTAGCAGTTTTCTATCAGATTTTTTCCTAAGCCAGTTTTGTTGTTTGGTTAGTTGCTTGCTTTTTCTTAAATTTAAAATTATCACCTATTCCTTAGACAATAGATGTTTTTCTTCCCTCAGTATTTGTGCTTCTTTTGTTTTTCAGCCTTAGCCAGAGAGACATCTTGGAAAATACAGATAAATGATCAAAAGAAGAAGCTCATGGAAAATATTTTGCTGTATGAAGAGGACAAGTTAAACAGTTCTGAACTTTTTGAATCATAAATTGGATGGATTAATTAGCATAGGGGTACTTTTGGGAATTATTTTTGTCAAAGTGCCCTTTACATGGTAATGTTTCTCATTGTGTTTCACATGATAACTGTTGTATATTCTGGATTAGGGAAAATATTTTAATTTAAAATAGCTTTGATTTTTCTATAGGACACTTGAAACATAATTTGTTGTATTTATTTTGGCAATGGGTCAAATATAAGCTAATTATGATGGTTCCACACTCACCAGGCATTCTCAGAGGAACCCTTGTGGGTCTCCCTTAGTTGTAGGAGCAGTAGGAGCCTTGGTCTCAGGCCCAGGGATCACATGCAAAACAAAAACAGAAACTTGTATGCTGGTGTATTTATGAGCAACTGAAAGCCCCCTTAAGAAAATATCACTTTTGTTTTATGATATTTATTAATATTTTATTTTATTAAAATTTTATTATTGCTGGCATATTCCACTTGTGTGCAGTAATAGGAAAAACAGGTTTATTATGGACCAAAAGAATTACCAGAGTATGTAGCTCAGTTTACAGACAGGTGAGCTGCCTGCTGAGCACGCGGAACAGGGCCTGAGGTGCAGAAATGGCTGCAATTCACAGCCAGTTCAGGGAACAAAAATAAAAAATAAAATGTAATTATTTTCAGTGGAATTGTTTACTAGTATATATTCGTAGTTTTACACAAAGGCCTCACACCTTCTATTTTTGTACAGTACCTAGTTCATTGTATATATTATGAGCAAGTAAAAGTATTTTAGCTAAAGACCTGTATACTGGAATTATCTACACATTTCTCAAGTTATTTTCTACACTAAAAACTGGTACCATTCCTTAATTATAAGTGCCTTGGATACTCTCTTTGTATTTACCAGTGTCAGGGTTTTTTTTATTTTACCAGAATCAAACCAAGATAAGATTAGTACTGACATAAGAAACATTGTATACTCAGATTGGTCAATAACTACTGAATTCTGCAGGAGATTTATAGAGATGCTTTATGTCACTGAAAATATAATATTCATTGTTTTTCACTGGTGGTAAAATCCTCGTGTCTTCTCCAGAAAGGAATGCACATGGATACACTGCAGAGCTGAATGGGAAACACAAGTTTCAAACTGAGAAATATAGTTTGCACACAGTTCTGTTTCACAAAAGTGCTTTGGAGGTTTTGTTCTCCTGTAGTCACCAAATGGAATTGTTATTCTTTGTCTTGTACCCTGATAGTTTTAAAATATCCTGAGATGATTTATGTAATCTTACAGTTACTTAAGTATTTAATAGCATGACATATATAAGACACTGTGTGGTCTTACATTAACACTGTAATGTAACTTGGCAGTTCACAATCCAGTTTATGCATTACCATTTACTAATAGCTTTTTGAATAAAAAGCCTGAAAAATTCCTTTCTTTCTAGCCTGCTTTTTCGTGATTTGTGGCACAGAAAATGTGTCTCATCCCACCCTATTTGGGCAAAAGAAGCTCAAGGCCACTTGCTCTTAGTAGTAATTATTAGTACAAACATATTTATTCAGTCTTTATTCAGTGTCAAGTAGCTTTTTTTCCGTTCTGACGGCTCCAGAGAGGAATTTCAGAGTAAAATTAATCACACAGGTTGCTGCGGGCGGGCGGGCCGGGGCTGAGGGGAGCGGCGCCCTTCCCGCCCTCCCCGGCCCGTCCAATCAGCGCCTCCGCCGCCGCCCCGCCGCCCAATCAGCGCCTCCGCCGCCGCCCAGCCGCCCAATCAGCGCCGCCGCCCCGCCGCCCAATCAGAGCCAAGGGCGCGCCGGGGGCGGGGCCGCGCCTGAGGGGCGGCGGGGCCGTCACAAACCTGCGGCCTCCTTTTTCCACCGCCTAGCGCTGGTTTAAAAACAACTGCAAAGTGCCCGAGTGGGTTCACGGCCTTCTTTCTTCCCTCACGACGAGTACAGCTCTAAGAGCAAAAAGGGAAGCTGGCACTGCTTACGTTCTCCCTGGGAATTGCCAAGACCAAAGGAAATGCAATGGCTTTGTAAAGCCTTGTCTCGTGATGTACCATTAGAGGGAAAAAAAAACCAACAACAAAACACCAAAAAGCCAAGTTCTTGAAAGCTGATTACGTGGACGGGAAGATGTGACTGTGGCTTGGCTGAAGACAGACTGCAGATTGCCTTGAAAAGGCAATCCCATGAAAAGATTATTTAATACAGCACACCAGGTTTTTAACCAATAGGATTTTATTCTGTTGGTATCTCAACCAAAAAAAAAAAATCCAAACAACTGAGGTACAGTACAGAAGTGTGACTAAAAAAAATAAATCTTCAAACCATGGTTTGATTTATTGATGTTGGTTAAATAACCCAGTTTGAGATTATTATAAAGCAGAAGACATATGCATTCCACTACTCCTTTTCATCTCCAAGAAAGCAAAGAGACTTTCACCAAGCACCAGAAAGACACAAGTACAATGTCACTGTTACCAGCAGGGCTAGCTAGCACACCACCAGCTAACCCAAGAACTCCACCAGCCCGCTCCCTCGCTTGAAACAAAGTTCTGGTCTTTGAGGGCACAGAGTATTTGTCCCCTGCATAAAGGAGTATCACACCTCATTGTTTTGACAGCTTCTCCCTGTTCTGCTGAAGGGCGTGAACTCTGACCACAGGACAGCCACTCAAATTTGACCCCTAAACCAGAAAAGCAGGGAATAATTCCTACAGTATCAAGGAGTAGTATCAGGCACAGTCCTTGGCTATACTGTTTATCTTAAATTTAAGGGAATGTCAATTAAGGCTGATTATCAACATATTGTAGCCTCCCAGCAATAGAGTGCTCATAAAATTGGATAATTGTTTCCCATGTTCATGTCCAGTTCAGATAAAATCAGTTCTCATCCAGCTAAAGACGCACTGCAAATCAGGGACAGTGATCACGTGCTGCAGCTGGAGTATGCCACTGTGCATCACTGCTCGTTCTGCTGCCCTTCTGTCACAGCAGACACCCCTCCTTGGCCCTTGTTCACGTCGCTGATGCACGCCCACAGCCCGTCCACCGACTCCTTCCACAGTGTCACCTCAAAAACAGAGCAGCAACAGCTTTCAGCCTTAAACACATCCTGTTCCCTTTTCTTGTAGCTACACAGCATGGGTTTGGTGGTAGCCTGAAGTCGTATGAGGAGAGTATGTGAATTGTCAGTAGCCCACAAAATCAAGCTCAGCCTGCATTTCTACCCTCCAGTAAGGACCCAGAATGCAGTGCAAGTGGTTTTCCAAAGGTTACAGTCTTCCTGCCCTCCTGATTAATCAGAAGAAAAAATGCTCCCATGGCAGCAAAGGAGACTCTATAACAGCCTTGAGTTAAACACGTGACAAGTCTCATCTGAGCTCCTCTGGAAACAGGGTGCACGGGGGTAAAAGCCAAGGCAGCAGTACTCACTTTGTTGTCTCCTCCAGACACTGCAAGGATGTTGGCAGTGATGGACCAGCTCACGTGCCAGACAACGTCATTGAACTTGTGCAGCAGCTTTGGTGACCAGGAGTTTCCAGAGGCATCATCACAGGTCCAGATAAACACTCGGCCATCCTGCAGAGGCAGAGAGCAGGGCTGGGCACAAGAAACGTAACCCTGAAATGCCCTTGGAGCTACACTTCCAAATCACAGCTCGCACACCCATGATGTGTCTGCATGGATTTGTGCTCAGCGCAGCAAGGGGCTGGCTCCTGGCTGTGGAAAAAGGCAAGGCAGGAGTGCAGCTCTGATGAGAAAAACTACCAACTAACAATGACTTGCAAATACCAGAGAAGGGCCCCCAAAATACATATGTATCAGCTGAGACACCTCCCCACAATGAGATTTTGTTTTCCACTCACATGGCAGGAGCTCACTAAGTAGTCTTCTTGATGTTAAAAAAAAAAAAGCATTTACAGATTAACAAGAACACAACAGTCAATATAAAGGCAGACAACAGAGCTGATTAAGAATGCCAGTTATTAGAAAACAGTAGTTTTAGAAAGAAGTTTGACCCCAAAACACTAAATATGATATTAGTTGGAAGGTTTTCCCCCTAGTGAAACCATCCGGCTCATGATTTTCAAACCAGAAGCCAGTCTTGGGTACAGAGGCACACACACACATAAACCTTTGTCCAGAAATGCTTCTATTGAGCTTCTGAGTCTGGGAAGAACAGGAGTCAAAGGCTCTTATGCAGAGACCAAATATAGCAAAGGATTGCCAAGAGGACCTGTTACAGCAGCTCCATCCCTACAATTCCTTCACTAGAGAAACGGGGAAGGAAGCATGTGGAAGTGAGCACACCTAGTGCCTGCCTCTGTCACTCCAGAGAAGCCTCACCTGAGAGCAGCTAGCAATGGTGCTGGTTGGCAAACCGATGGAGGGAGCCCAGGCCACGTCTCGTACCCAGTCACTGTGAGCCTCCAGCTTCTGCTCTTCTTTCCACTGACCCTCTTCTTCCCTGAAAACACAGCTATATGGTCAGAAGGATGGTGGCAGCACCCTTCATCATCTCACACCCTGCTCGGGAAGGCTTTGGATTGTAGCATTCAAACTCCTTCTTCATCAATACAATACAACGCACAAGTGTTCCCTACTTCTCCAAAAATCTCTACGGCTTGAACTGACAAAATCCCTTCCAGGAGACAGAAAGCAGCACAGGCAAAGATGTTCTGACCTCCAGTTACTGTCAGAAAACTGCTGTTACCGAAGTGGTAGCAAAAGACCATTACAAAGCCACCCTTGGAGACAGGATCACACAGGGCTGGCACGAACTGCAAGAACCATAGGATATTGTGCATCACTAAGCTTCCATTTTTAAAACACTTCTCTAAAACAGTAATTCGAAGATGATACAATAGGGATGCCAAAAATATTATCTGAGATACTAACAGGGACACTCAAAGCCTAAAGTGTCAGGTTTTATCTGGCAACATGGCACTTACTTCCAGATCTTGACCAGGTTGTCACAGCCACCAGATGCAAATCTTTTGATGTAGTTTGGCTTTTGACCAGAGGGTTGTTCTATAAGGCTTCCTGGTACAACAGCAGGAGCCCAGCTAACTGCATTACATCCAATCTAGTTAATGAAAAACATCACTGTTAAAAGTTGCTTACTTTAATTAACCAAATAAATAGATAGAGGCTGCTGAGAGGGTGAAGAACACGTAGCATACTCTCTACTGAGAATGGGGAATTAGCCCATTTCAGAAAAACTGAAGTCTTGGACAATGCTGGATGAATATCGGATGAATAAGAAATCCAGATGCAGAGTAGCCTCACTTACTCAGAGAGCCTGAGGTAGCTAAGGGTATTTGCACAGAAAATAGTTCATCTTGGATGTGCAAATAGAGACAGAGATGGAAACTGCAAATTCAAAAGGCACACACAGTTGCTAAGATTTAGGAATACAGGAGTAGAAGGAGCCTTTGGTCCTGAATTTCCTTCTACTGGGGGCCATTGCCATTAGCTTATTATGTTCTGCTTAAACAAAAATCTCCACAATTTTGGGAAAAACAGGAGTCCCACAGTTTTTTCCAGCTGGTGCAGATATTCTTAGGACCAAGGCCATTTCTTACCAGGTAACTTTCAGCACTGTGTTTAACAATAATGCCCAATAAACAGGCATTGCCAGTGCTGTTTAGTGGATTTCATCGTATTTTCACTTCATTTTAGTGACTAAAACGTATACCTGCCTACTCTGGATGAAGTGAAACTATTCTTGGTTCTGGATGTTTCACATAATTTCACTGCATTTCAGTATTTATCTCCTCAAGTCTCTGAGGCATCACCTCGGTGTTTCTGTAGCTCTGGGAACTCTGGGCTGCTGCAAAGGACGAGACTCACCGTGTGTGCATTGCTGATCTTTTTGACTTCCCACTGCCCATCACCCGTGTAGCTCAACAAGGAAATGGCCCCGTCAGAGCTGCCGCAGGCCAGGATCAGTCCATAGTCGTGTGGTGCCCAGCAGACAGAATTCACTGGGAAGGGCAAGACCGGATTACAGCACAGGGACCACCTAAAACTGACTGACCAATTCACTGACTGCTATCAGTGGCACAGTCACCAAAACCGAGTGGCTTTGAAAGCTGAGAATGAGCCAAATTTCAGCAAAAGCCAGCCAATTAGCAATGTTTACTGAGTAACAGATCTGCAGTGGGAGGGTAAATCATTTGAACACAACCGTTTCAATTTTAAAACAAAATACAGCATGATTAAATGCAGTCTTTCTAACTGAAAACAGATAGTATTTTCCTCAAGAATTCAGTTCCCTGTCATCTTTATTTGAAAGCTGACTTTTTTGTATAACAACACCTACGGACACATGGTATGAATCAGTAGTGGCTTATCCAGCAATACAACCTTAGGGAAATGTCCTGTTAGTGCTGAACTCTCTCTTCAGTTTTTATCCTTCTCTTTTTGACAGTGGCTTTCTTCCTTAACACTAACAGATTTATTTCAGTCTTACCCAGATCCCCTCATCTCCTCAGTCTCCCTTTCCAGCTCCACACTCCAGCCCTCCATACCTGAAGAATCATGTCCCGTGTACTCGTAGGTCTTTTCCCAAGTGCCATTTTCTTCCTTCCAGATAATAACCTTCCTGTCATAGGAACAGGAAGCCAAGATATTCCCATACATAGGATGAGCCCAGGCAACCTGCCACACGGGACCTTCGTGCCTGCAAGAAACAGCATCATTAGGAAAAGCTGAAGCTGAGAGCAACCCCTTCCAGCTGCAGCTGCCTCACAGATCACCGTTGTGAACCGCTGCTCTGGGAGGGATTAGTTCTGACGTGAGGAATGAGTGATGCTAAGATAGCAATGCTAGTGCCCTGACACAGGGCTCTCGCTGTCACAAAAAACAATTCCAGCTTGTATCAGTAGGTTACTCCTTGAAAATCACAGGTGCAAAGTGCTAAATGAATGAACCGAGTGCTAAATGAATGAACCAAGTGAAGCAAGCCCCACTGCGCTTCCCACGGGGCTCTGTCCCAGCGCAGCTCTGAGAAGCTCTCCAGCACAGTCCCGGAGGAGTTCACCCTGGCACTCAGCCCGCACTCTGTGCTGCCCGAGGGCAGAAGGACAGAGCACAGGGCGCTGCCGAGGTGAAGCGGGCTGCGGCGGGACCTCACCCCCTGAGGTCGGCGATGAGGATCTGGCCCCCGTTGCGCACGTCGAAGATCTTGACGGAGCGGTCGGAGGAGCAGGTGGCCAGGCGCGTGCCGTAGTAATCCATCTGGGCGTCGTGCTGCAAGGAGAGGGGAGCGCGCTCAGCGCGGGGCTGCTGACCCCCGGCCTCCAGGAACCCCTCAACAGCCCAGCGTGCCACACAAGCTCTCCAGTCACTACACAATGCTACACAGGAGGAACCCAGGAATCCTGAGCTGCAGCCACTGCGTTCTCACGACAGGGAATTCAGGCTGCTGACTACAAGGCAGTGACCAGTTATGTATTTCTGCTTTTTAAAAGGTGGAGTGGGTGTACAAATACTGCTCTTAAGTATAACTGAAAGTTCACCATCAGCACGGAATCTTGAAGGCTGGAAAAGGCCTCCAAGGTCACTGACTACAACCTTTGACCAATGGCTGTCACTTGTTACCAGACCTGAGCACTCCGTACCACATCCAGTCATTTCCTGAACACCTTCAGGGATGGTGGCTACACCACCTCCCTGGGCAGCCCTTTCCAGTGCTTGAGAGCCTCTTCTGTAAAGAAATAGCTCCAAGAATTAGGCTCACCTACCTGGGCTCCTTCCTTCAACAAATCACTTTGAAACCTTTCTTCCTACCCACATTAATACATCTACTTTCACATACAACCACTTAAAGGAAAACCATTTTTATCAGCTGAAGGTCTGTACCAGAGAATATACGCATATCTCTATTATTTCACAAAAACGGGCAGAAACAAGCCCTCACAGGAAAAATAAGATTTTAAATAATTTCCCCTGTCCTCCCAGCCCAGTTTTCCTCTCCACACAGTATGAAATGGCACGATCAGGATCCCAGAGAGCATCCAGCATCCCAGCAGCGTGCTCTTTCACGAGCACACACCCGCCGCCCCCCGAGCAGCTCCGCCACAGCGGCCGCGGGACCGGGCGGAGCAGCCCCCGCTCACTTACGATCATGTCCTCGTGGGACGTGTCCACGGTGTTAATGACCGACACCTGCGGGGGAAGGAACACAGCGAGCTCAGCGCAGCAGCGCGCGGCCGCGACCCCGGGGGCCGCTCCATCCCCGCCGCGCACCCGGGGCCGCTACCGTGCGCCGTGCCCCGCGCTGCCCGGGCCGCTGTACCGTGCGCCGTGCCCCGCGCTGCCCGGGCCGCTGTACCGTGCGCCGTGCCCCGCGCTGCCCGGGCCGCTGTACCGTGCGCCGTGCCCCGCGCTGCCCGGGCCGCTGTACCGTGCGCCGTGCCCCGCGCTGCCCGGGCCGCTGTACCGTGCGCCGTGCCCCGCGCTGCCCGGGCCGCTGTACCGTGCGCCGTGCCCCGCGCTGCCCGGGCCGCTGTACCGTGCGCCGTGCCCCGCGCTGCCCGGGCCGCTGTACCGTGCGCCGTGCCCCGCGCTGCCCGGGCCGCTGTACCGTGCGCCGTGCCCCGCGCTGCCCGGGCCGCTGTACCGTGCGCCGTGCCCCGCGCTGCCCGGGCCGCTGTACCGTGCGCCGTGCCCCGCGCTGCCCGGGCCGCTGTACCGTGCGCCGTGCCCCGCGCTGCCCGGGCCGCTGTACCGTGCGCCGTGCCCCGCGCTGCCCGGGCCGCTGTACCGTGCGCCGTGCCCCGCGCTGCCCGGGCCGCTGTACCGTGCGCCGTGCCCCGCGCTGCCCGGGCCGCTGTACCGTGCGCCGTGCCCCGCGCTGCCCGGGCCGCTGTACCGTGCGCCGTGCCCCGCGCTGCCCGGGCCGCTGTACCGTGCGCCGTGCCCCGCGCTGCCCGGGCCGCTGTACCGTGCGCCGTGCCCCGCGCTGCCCGGGCCGCTGTACCGTCACCGCCGGGGCCCGGACGCTGCCCTTCACCGCCCCCAAGCCCTCCGGCCCGGCTCCGGCCGCGCCTTGGGGCCGCCCGGCGCGGAGCGGGGCGAGCCCGGGCCCGCAGAGCCCTCCGCCATGGCCAGCGTCTCGTACCACATCTCCAGCCTGCTGGAGAAGATGACCTCCACCGACAAGGACTTCAGGTGCGGCACCGCGGCACGGGCCGGCGGGCGGGCCCGGGAGGACGGGGCTCCTGCTGAGAGCAGAGCGGGGTGTGTGCCTGCTGTGCTTACCGGGGGTCGGCTCTGTCCCGGCTGAGGGGCACGTTCAGAGGCCAGAGCAGCGCCCCTCCCTTGCCTGGACTGGTGCCTGTTGGAAGTGGAAGGGGGAATGAGTCTGGGCAGCCGGACTCCAGGTTGTTCCTTGCTTTGTCAATAAAGAATATCGTAGCAAAAATGCTTCTAGTTTGTTTGGATAATCTGTGAGATAGTCAGTGCATTAAAAGGGGTGAGTAGACACCCGTGTCTCTGGGTGAAGGATGCTGCACGTACTGGCTCTGCTCAGGCTGCCTGGAGAACTTTTTCTGTGTGATGGGAAAATGTGCCTTCCTGACAGGACTGAGATGCTTTTTTTTTCTTTGTTTATATCAGCAGAAAAGTTGATATCTTTTTAGGGTTAGGTGGACTACTCTATCAAAAAGTAATTAAAACTGACATGTTTGAAAGATTTCACTCCTTAGCATGTTGTCCTCTGAGACTCAACCTGGAAGGTAATCTTTGGGCCAGACTTGGTATTTTAAGGTCTAAGAGAGGGGTTAGTAATAGTCTAAAAGCAGGTTGATTTTTGTAGAAGCTGCTGATGTTGTCAGATGTTAAAATAGGTACTTTGTAAAGAAGTCAGTGGTGGAGCAGTGGTACAAACAGTTTGTTGAAAGAATTTACAGTTACACTCCAAAGGTGCCCGACACCAGGCAGGTCAGTCACAGAGGAGCTGCAGGGCCAGCACATGGCAGAGTGCCCGTGCAGGAGCCGGTGTGCTCCCTCGGGATCTGCGGGGTGAGCAGCAGGGCAGCGGGCAGCGGGGTGAGCCCCGGTGAGGGGCAGAAGGCAGCAGGCAGAGCCCCGGTGTGGGGCAGCAGGCAGAGCCCCGGTGCGGGGCAGGAGGGCAGCAGGCAGAGATGTGAGCCCCGGTGCGGGGCAGCGGGCAGAGCCCCGGTGCGGGGCAGCATGCAGAGATGTGAGCCCCGGTGCGGGGCAGCAGGCAGCAGGCAGAGATGTGAGCCCCGGTGCGGGGCAGAGGGCAGCGGGCAGAGCCCCGGTGCAGGGCAGCAGGGCAGCAGGCAGAGCCCCGGTGCGGGGCAGCAGGCAGAGATGTGAGCCCCGGTGCCGGGCAGCAAGGGCAGCGGTGAAAGATTTCACTCCTTAGCATGTTGTCCTCTGAGACTCAACCTGGAAGGTAATCTTTGGGCCAGACTTGGTATTTTAAGGTCTAAGAGAGGGGTTAGTAATAGTCTAAAAGCAGGTTGATTTTTGTAGAAGCTGCTGATGTTGTCAGATGTTAAAATAGGTACTTTGTAAAGAAGTCAGTGGTGGAGCAGTTGTACAAACAGTTTGTTGAAAGAATTTACAGTTACACTCCAAAGGTGCCCGACACCAGGCAGGTCAGTCACAGAGGAGCTGCAGGGCCAGCACATGGCAGAGTGCCCGAGCAGGAGCCGGTGTGCTCCCTCGGGATCTGCGGGGTGAGCAGCAGGGCAGCGGGCAGCGGGGTGAGCCCCGGTGAGGGGCAGAAGGCAGCAGGCAGAGCCCCGGTGCGGGGCAGCAGGCAGCAGGCAGCAGGCAGAGCCCCGGTGCGGGGCAGCAGGCAGAGATGTGAGCCCCGGTGCAGGGCAGCAGGCAGCGGGATGTGCCGCCGCCGAGGGCTCTGCTCAGCCCGTGGCCATAATTGGTCATGCTGGGTCCACAGCCGAGGAGCTCTCGCAGAATCACAAATAGATCGCAGCTAACATCTCGGTAACAGCGTTACTGCTGTTTGCTCGCTCTGATCTGGGGCTGGCTCTGGAACACCCGTCAGCCCCTCCTTCCAGAGGTGCCTCGTTGCTGCTCAGGAGTGGGCTGGCAGGTGGCAGCCTCAAATGACGACCTGCACAGGAGAGCTCCTGTGTGCGGAATGAGTGACATCAGAGCCTAATTTAAAAGGAGCTGTCAGTTTGTAACAGAGAGAAGGACTTCGTGGTTGCTGTCAGACACCCGTTCTGTGCAGGGCTGACATTGGAAAGTAGCTAACACACGATAGCCACACTGAGATTTCCTAGAACTCAGACTCCTGTACCAGCACCTTTTGCACTTCCTGCTCCTGGGAAAATAGATACTTTCCAGAATTTCTCAATATCCATTCTGTTCCCATTAGAAAACTGACTGTCACTTGGGTCTTTGTTTTTCTTTCTAATCTGGAGTGATAAATACTCGATTGTTTTGCTCACAGCAATCTAAATATACCTAGTGCACTTCTGAGGTGTAGTTTGCATGGAGTCACTACTTTCTTTTTTCATTTTTGACAGTGATAGGGCTTGTCCATATCTGGGCTCATACTATTAGTGCTAAGTTAGCCAGAAAGAACAGAGCTAGGTGAATTCTTAGACCCCAGACTGCTTTTCCTAGGCCAGGTGGAAAATTGGTGAAAAAAGCCATCATGACTTTTTTTCTGGCATAGTCATTTAGTTGCTGAGTGGTACGTTTAGAGTTTTTGTTTACCTGACCCGTTAGGTTGTTATCTCCTGGTAAGATAGTAGTGGAAAAAAGCCATCATGACTTTTTTTCTGGCATAGTCATTTAGTTGCTGAGAAAAAAAATACACATGCTGAGTGCCACTTTTAGAGTTTTTGTTTACCTGACCCCTGTTAGGTAGTTATCTAGTTGTAAGATAGTAGTAATTTTCCTTTTTCTTAGGACAGTGTTGTAAGTTACTCTTTGGTAGTGTGTTTTCATACAAGCACCAGTTGCCCAGTTCTGCCCAGGTGATGCATTTGTGTCTGCACATCAGCCAATCCCCTTTCTCCCTGTGTCCTTTCAGGTTTATGGCCACCAATGACCTGATGATGGAACTGCAGAAAGACTCAATAAAACTAGATGAAGACAGTGAGAAAAAAGTTGTGAAAATGCTTTTGAAATTGCTGGAGGACAAAAATGGGGAAGTACAGAACCTTGCTGTCAAATGGTAAGAGCCCAGACAGTAATAGCCATGTTCCCTGGCACTAACAGAGCCATACAGACTGCAGAGTGAGAACAGAGCCTGGCCCTTGGCACCTCCCTCAAACCTCCTTTGCAAGGCACATTGCCCCCTGTTGCAGGCACTGCACTTTCTCCCAGTGTAGACACTCACAAGGGATGAGCACACAGATACCTTTGTAGCAGCAAGAGATGATTTTGGAAGTACTTCAGTGTTCCTGTTATAAACCTTACCACGTGGAAGGCAGAGCTCTAGGATTTTATTTCTTCAGGGAGAAGCACACTTAAAATTTTTGCTCATTAACCTCTTGACCTCTCTTAGGCTTTGAAATCCAGTGCTGAATTTCTTCATGGATCTGTCTTTGATAGCAACGGTACTAAACATGTACAGCCCTTATGGGTTTTAATTTCAGGTCCAAATCCTTCTCTTCAAGGGAGTTTCCATTGAACTTTATAATGCACTTGGATTTTCCCTGCCTTGACTCTGAGTGCAGCGTGTGCTGTTGCTTTGCCTTTGACCATTCCCGTATTTTTTTAATCCAAGTGAACAAAAGTAGCAGGTTCCTCTCTTAGTGAATCCTGTGATAAAGGGATCCTGCTGCTGACATGCTCTTTCCCATCTGTTTCCCCAGCATGGCTAAGTGGGCATATTCAGTCTAGAAATGCCATTGAATGGCTCAGTTCACCCCAGGGCTCCAGGAAGGTGGGCCACTTAAAGACAACTTTGGATTCCTCTGTTTTTTCTTGCTGTGGATCCTGTTCATATTCTCTTCTTTTCAACCGTGTGCTGCTTCTATCCCCGTTCTTTCCCTCTTCTCTTTGGCCCTTTCTTTTTGGTTCCCACTGTCCTGACTTCTTTTGGCCCTGCTCCTCTCTCTGCCTGCTTTGGGTTGGTTTATTCTGCGTTTTAAAGCAAAACAGATGAGCACTGAGCAGAGGACCAACTTCTCAGCTTCTTTGCCTGGTTATCTCTGGTTGTATCTGCAATAAGTCCATACTCATTGCAATCTCTTATCCATCCAGAGTGTGATAATGAGGAGGCCTCAGAATGGAACCAGGAACATTTCCTTCCCGTGCCTAAGGAGGTGCTTAGAGTGGAGTGTCAGTCATTCCCAGATAGGTGGCCAGGCTCCTTGAGAAGCAGCAGTGTGATGGTTTGGAGGACGTGGGCAGTGGGATTAGGCCCTTCATCCTGACTGGCTTCTCCTCCCGCAGCCTGGGCCCGCTGGTTGGCAAAGTGAAGGAGTACCAGGTGGAGACCATCGTGGACACGCTCTGTACGAACATGCTGTCAGACAAGGAGCAGCTGAGAGACATCTCCAGCATCGGCCTCAAAACAGTTATTTCTGAGCTGCCCCCAGCTGCCACAGGTACACTGTCTGTCCCCGTTGGTCACTGAGGGATGGGGAGTCCCAGCCCTTGGCAAACGGGGGAAAATGTAGAGTCCAGAGCCTAAAAGTTATTGATTCTTTACTCACCTGCCAGAGGACAACCTGTGAAATCAGGGGAGGGACAGTAGAGCTGAGGCACTAGTGGGATGAAAGACACATTAAATGAAAACTTGAGCTGTATTTGGAACTATGTATCCCAAAAATGCATCAGCTTTTCAGGGGATACCTGAGGCTCCCAGCAACAGGATTTTCCTCTGCAGCCATCTCTTGAATCTGTCCTGATTAGATCTCCCAGTGATGATTTCTTTTTTCAGTGTACAAGGGATTGAATGGTTCCTAGCAGCAAAAAGACTCCGTGTTAACTGACAGCAGGGAAAAATATCTCTCTTGCAGGTTCCACCATGACAGCAAATGTGTGCAAAAAGATCACAGCCCAGCTGACAGGAGCCATTGGCAAGCAGGAGGATGTGTCCGTGCAGTTGGAAGCTCTTGACATCCTGTCAGATATGCTGAGCAGGT